TCTCTTTCTCTGGTATCACCACTGTCAACTGGAAGAAGGTAATGGCCGCAAGTCCACCAGAGGTCCCCAAAGTGCCCTGAGCAAGGTGTCTGTGGCCCTAATGCAGAGGTCTGCTGAAAATGAATTTCTGAGGGCAGGGACAGGGAATAATGCCTAAGAAAAACATTTCTTAAGGCCTAAGAAGCACTGATTTACTCTATTGCACTGGAGGTCTGAAAAGTCTGAATGCTGTTTGACTACTTCCAGCAGTTGGGAGTCCGAGACCCCTTAGGTCAGCTTCTTTGATGCCACAGAATTTTCCCCTTGGGAAAGTTTTCTTTATTGACTTTTTTAAAGAATGGTAAGCTCAAATCTCCCTCCTTGTAACTTCCGGCCACCAGATCTAATTTGCCTTCTGGAGCTCCCAGTTCCTCACCCTCCCATACCCCTGGAAATACTTTTACTTTCTTCTCTGCATATTGACCCTTTAGATGCTGCAGCCAGCTGCCTAATCTCTACTCAGGTCTAAACTCAATAATTCATCACACCCAGACTCAGCACTCTAGTCTGGTAACCTTTACCTGATGGTGTGCAGTCGTGGGCATGAGCCCCCCCACCCCACAGGAGCAGGATGCCACCTCCAGAATGTCCCACTGTGCATACAGCTGCATTCCACATGACCCATGCTCTGACAGTCCAGCTATTTCACATGCACGACTATGAAGTGGGTCTCCTCAATTTGGCTTCTGTGCTATTGATTTTTGAACCTCGGGGCCCTCTCCATATTGCCCGCCGCCTTTCATGGTTCCAGCAGGTTGTTCTGGTGGTGGAAGAGATGCGGAGTACTGATTCTGTCACTCATCACATCAGCTCACTCTGATGACTCTGAGTCATCTGCAAATTTGATAAGCATGCTTCTGATGTCTTTATCAAGTCACTGGTTCCACTGCTCAGCGGGCTGGGAGGCAGTAGCCCACCGGGGCCTTCTGGGTGGACATAGAACCTTTCACTCATCCACACTTGGGGCCTTCCAGTGCTCAACCAGCTGTGAATCCACCTGTCTCCCAGGGCTTTTCCAAACCTCTATTCTGGTAGCAGCAGAACCTTTTCCTCCCAGCAGAATCATTTATAAGGCCCTGCGTGTGAGAGAGGAATGGAGGGGCTGCTTGGGTAGGAGCCAGGAAGGTGCTTCCTCTATCTGCCCCACTGCCCCAAGGCAGCAGTACAGAGCAGAACCAGAAACCCTGTCATCTGAGCATATGCCTGAGGCTGACTCACAAAGCTGAGGCCAGTCCCATTCTACCTCAATGTGCAGGAAGTAGGCAGGCAGGGGATGGAGTGGCCCACTGTCCAGTGGGAAAACGGGGGGCTCCAGGTCCTGGAAGAAGCAGCTTACCCATCTTCAGTTGGAGACTGTCAAGCACCTTGCTGGATACCACCAACGAGCATGCCTCATCTCTTTAGGGATCTACCTACTCCAGAAGGACATCTGGTTTCACCACAGGCATTTTCTGCAATAGCAGAGCTTCTGCAGGAGGCTATTGTTCCTAGGGGCAGGACTGCTAGAGCCATGAGGTCCTCAAATGATGGCCTATCATCTGTGACAAGAGCCACCACATACATGCCCCTTTTGTCAAAATAAAGCTGGGAATAACACACCTCCAAAAAAATGGCAGGGGATTCTTTGAAATCTGAGTGATGACATCAGAAATGGAGGCACAACACACATTATAGCTTTTGAGACAAACACGGGATCAAGAAAGCAGCAATATCTGCAACCCATGCCTCCCTGGTTCCTTCCAGTCTGGAGTTCTGCTGGGAAATGGCCTTCTAGCCACTACTTGGGAACACATCCCCCGCCACTTCAAGGCTTGTCAGTAGAGGGCGCTGTGTCATCATGCTCCCTGTAGCCTGGGCCTAGCGATTTGATCCATGTCCATACAAAGACTCCACTTGAAGAAGTGTTTCTTGGGTTTGTGGTTAATACCACATGAGAAAACAGTAGCAAAATGCAAAAGTGCAGGTATATGATGTGATATCGCCCATGCAAAAAGCACACAGGAAATTGACTTGAAGGAAACAGAACAAAAAGTTGTAAGCATTTGCTCACTGGAAATGGAATTCCTGTTTTTATATTCCTTTATACATTCTGCCAATTTTCTACAAGCTCCCCCTACTCCAACAATTGGAAAGAACCTGTGTGGTGCTCAGGGACTTGTGAGTTGCCTGGAGGGGCTGCAGCACAGGGTCCTGGCTGCTAGAGAAGTATTTAGTGGGAAACTGAATACATGCTTGGATCTGGCAGGTGCAGGGGGGCTCCTAGAGGAACTCAGGAAGTGATCACAACATGAAATCAAAACCATCAGGAAGTACATAGAGAGAAGAACCATCACAGGCCCAGGTCCAGGCTCAAGACCTGAGAAGACATCCTGGGAGAGGAGTCATTTGCACTGAGACCTCAGGTAGGGGATGCAAGACACACCTGATGCACAGGCACCATGAGCAAAAATGTGGAAGCACGCAATAGGAAGGGAAGAGGGGGCAACCAGTTCAGGTTTATATGCAACTTGGGGCTGGGGGAGAGAAGGCAAAAAATCCCAGGACTGGGACATAGGGCCCTCCATATCCCACCAAGGAGCCTGGCCCAGACCTTCCAGGCCCACAGTGACACTCAGCAGCAGGAATACAAAAATCAGCCACAGCTCTTCCCCAGAGAGAAGGCAATCAGGTTCTTCTTCCGGAAAGTTGAGAGACCTGAAGCCTCAAGGGATAAAGTAACATATTCATCACTTCATAAGTCTTCAATAGAAAAATTGAATAATCTGCATTTCATTTTTAAAAAATCAAAGATACTGAATAAGAAAATAATACTAAAAAAAGCACACCAAAAAAAACCAAACAAAAAAAAACCTGGTGAATGAGTTGGCTCACATAGGTGTGCACACTACCTGTAAATTACTGCACAGGAGAGCTTGAAACAGACAAGTGGTTTTTACTTGGAAGCATTAATGTACATTCAATTATCCTGCTGCATACTGGCTGACTTTAACTCAGCCAAATTAGAATACATTTTATATTGACTATTTTGACATTTGTTTTATTTGGCAAGTAAAACAAAACTGATCCAATTTCCTTGCAGCCATTGTAAACCATAAACTGTACAGCAGAGGTTATAAAATATATAAGCCTTATAAACACTGTTCTGATGCGCTACCCTCCAGTTCCGCCCGGCTCCCAATGGCCCAGTGCTCATAGGCCCTCCTGCTCCAGCTGCAAGTGACCTTGCTCTTATGCTGACCGCTGAGGCTTCTGGGCAGATCACTCTGCTCCATCTGGGAGAATCAGTGCTCTTTCTTTATCCAAGAGAAAGTTAAACCTTCCCTGAGGTGGTGCCCATTTCTGGGCCCCTTCCAAAACATATGATGTCATATGTCAAAACATATGATATCAAAACATATGATGTCAATATGATGCCTGTAACTAGTTCAGGGCAACAGACTCTGTGAGGGCTTTCCAGCCACTGCAATGAGCCCAAACTCGAGCTTACCCCAAATACAGGCAATGGACATCAGCACAGGTGATGGACCCCAAGCACAGGTGATGCAGTTAGTTGATGCCCTAGCATAGGGGATGATCTTGCCCTAACTCCAGCACAGGTGCTGGTGATTCTCAGCAGTGCTCTTAGCCAGTGAGAAGGGAACAAATGCTAAATGCACTGTGCTAACCTCACACTCCTGAACTAAACATAGAATCAATTTTTCAACCTGCAACTCTGGGAGGCTCATTAGCTATTCACATCTTCCTATACCTAAGTGAAACTGAAAACTACTTCTAAAGTTCCAGGTAATTCCAGGGGTAGTTAAGTTTAAATACCACTTTTGGTTTGTGAAACTGTCATGAAAAAGACCAGATTGTCTTTATGGGGGAAGTCCCAAAGGACAGTGTCCTTTTAACTTCTGGACTCATTACAGCAATGTTCTTCCAAGTGAGGCAGGTGCTAGGTGTGGAGGAACAGAGTGCAGAGAGGGGATGGCACCTCCCGAAGGGCAGGGTGTAGTGTGTGTGGCCCAGAACCCCACTGGTGACTGCTGTGTCCTGTTCCTGACAGAATATGTTCATCTTGACTCACCCACATGGGAGCTTTTAGATCCATTCTCATTTATGGTACCTCAATCTCTGCATGATGCTGCCTCACTGTTCTTGTTTTATTTACTTTAAAAATCTCTTTCTCAAACTTAATCCATCACTGCTGTTTGTTCCTTGCACTCAAACGATTTACTCTTAGTGATGCACAGGTTTTTGTTTTTGTTTTTTTTTTTTTGAGTTGAAGTCTCACTCTGTTGCCCAGACCGGAGTGCAGTGGCTGCTCCTGGCCACCACAGCCTTGACCTGCTGGGCGCCAGTGATCCTTCCGCCTCAGCCTTCCAAGTAGCTGGAATTACAGGCACGCGCTACCATGCCTGGCTAATTTTTGACTTATTGTAGAGATGAGGTCTCGCCAAGTTGGCCAGGTGGATCTCGAACCCGTGGGCTCAGGCAATCCACTCACCTCAGCCTCCCAAAGGCACGGGATTACAGGCTGAGCCACCGAGCCTGGCTGATGCACAGGTTTTTTATTTAACAGTATTCTTTTTGCCATCTGCTTTTTTTGCAAAAAGTATAGACTAGTAATACCTCTATAACAGTTGAAATCAGTTACAGAGCAACTAGTTTGCTCACCCAAGTTTCTCTGTGGAAACAATTATTAAAACTCAGATTTCCTGAAAAATATCTCACTATTCTCTTATACTCAAACTACCCATTTCTTAGTTTGTAGCTCACTGGGAACAGGAACTACATGAAAATGCATATAGTTACTTACCAGCCCTCCTGGGTTTCAAATGAGTTGCTGGTCAAGGCAGAGAAGGAATTCCACCTTATAAGGCCGGTAATCCCAACCACGTGGCTACAAAAAGTGTGTCTGTGCATATCTATGAGCTCTCTTGAATAACAAGCCAAATTTAAGTTGCATACTCTGCTATTTTAGGAGCGTGAAGAATATGTACAAAATGGAATATAAAATGGCCTTTACATTCATGTAAAGCAAAGATTTCTAATTGGACTTTTAAAAATCCCCTCTAAAAGTACATTGCTTCTATAATTTTTTATACTTTGCACTATTTCAGCAGATACTAAGTGGCAGTGTTCTAAAATGTTGTGCAGTGGGACCCAAGACCATATGACAGCACAAAACACCAGGACGAGCCTCACCTGGGAAGGTTGGGGGCTGGGGTGGAAGCAGCTGATGACTGGGAAGGTGTTGTGGGTTGAGATGAGTCATGATTTCTTGGTACTCTCCCCATTCGATACCAGATCCCCATGCTGTTCAGTTCCCTTTGGGAGAAAAGAGAAATCTTCATGGTGCTGGTTAACACGCTTACCTGACTGATAAAGCAAACTAATTCATTAAAAAGAGTCAAAGCCTCAAGCACCAGGAAATCAATTCTTGCCCATGTAAGATGGTTCCATCACCTCCTTTTGTGGGAGTCGAAGATCAAAGCCTAATGTGAGGGCAATCTGTGATGAGGCTACTTTCCTCACCCTTCCTGAGCTTGCATTCCTACCCCAACAGACACTTTCCTTGCTTCTCAGTCTTTAGACGCCTTTTTGCTTTACCATTTCATTGTAGGTCTATGTAGTAATCCACATTGAGTACTTTGTGCAGTTGGGGGGATAGATGAACAGATAGACACAGAGGCTAGTTCTTAATCACAAGAAGAATTAGCCCCCCACTCTACCACACACCCCAGTTTCAGGAAATGGCCCCTCACTGCTTGATGCCACCTGCAGTTAGCCTCATTCTCAGGGTCATTTTGGGAGGCACCTTCAAATTACAAAAGCTGAGCCACATGCCTCACGGACCACTCCACTGCAACTAGGAGTAGACACAGAGGGGGCTCCCAGACACCGCATTGGGCTTTCTATGACTTCACAGGCACACCCGCCATGGCCAGCCCCACAGCACAAGTCAGCAGTGTTGAGACAGAATGCTCCTAGGAACTGTGACAGGATTATTTTAGCCATACCCAATTTTCAACTTCCCAACTGCCCCATACAACTGTATCTTTGGGACCTGATGTGGAAGAATATCATCTCTTTAAAAAGTGAAAAAGATGTACTCTGTGGATACTTCTAGTTAGCTTCTCAGTTTACTGTAGAACTATTCAAACCCCAATTCTGTCTTCTGAGATGAGTGGCTCCAGTCAGCTGATTTCGCCACATCTTATCATGGTCTTCAGCTGCCAGGCTGTGCAGGAACTCTTAGGAATATGAGGATTCTGTCTCCCCAGCTGACAGTCCCAAACACTTGCAAAGCAACAGGGAAAACTGTGCCCATTTTTAAGAATAAGTGACTTAGAGTTCTGAATATTGAATTCTCTTTCCTTACCTAAACATAACACTGGAATTGTCTTCCTCTGGAAAAGAAAATTTGTCTCCAAATTCCCAAAACTATAGCAATATTTTCAAAATGATATAAAAGAGAAAAGGTTCTGGCTTTGACTATTAAGACATACGTTGGTAAATATCTAATCCTTAGAATTGTTTGCGCTGGCTAAAAATGGAATCTTTTTTTTTTACAATAGTATAGTCTGTAATTAAAAACACACATAGCAACTGAAATTAGGCTTTAAAGGTTCATTATTAAATTGTTGGTTTCTGCTATTTGTATGTAAATGGTAAATGTCTGCTTCTAAGGTACTTGAAGTATGGTTATTCTCTAAACTATTTCCTACTCCTGTAATCCTGTTTACATAATTAGTGTAAACCACATTGCAAAACAGAATTTTTTAGTGTGTAGAAAGGGAATGATCAGAGTCCTTCTAAGAACCACAAAATCTTAATACAGAACATTCGGATTCCATAGCTGAAGAGTCTAAAGAAACTGTAACGCACCATGGGGAAATTAATTTCTATTTCTGTGATACCTGTTCCCTGCAGGCTTCAAGCAGATGCCACAGGGCTCTTCTGTTGCCCTTGCTGTGTCTAGGATATGAGGAAAGGCCCTGGCTTACAGAGTGAAGAGGCAGCTCTGGGCTCAAGTGAACAAGAGCAAAACAGAGTACAAACCAGACCCAGGAGGCTAGCCTCAGAAGCCGAGTAGGAGAGCACATCTTTAGGAACCCACAGGGATGCAGGTGACGTCTGCCAAGCCTGGCCAGGGAAAAAGGCGTATAGCCGAGCAGGCTGGAAACTGTCTACCACACCTATTAATGTAAGAGACCTGAATTTCAATTGACTGAGGACAGTGAACATCTATTTTCTTTTGGACATCCAGCATCCACTCATCCTGCTTTCTGACTTTTTACCTCCCCTCTGTATTTGGGGGGCAGCTATCCCCTGTGGTTGGTTCTGAGGTTTTTGTGGAGCTGACCCTGATTCCAGCTCAGGCCTGGTCGATCCAGAAAACAGTGACAAGTACTGTGTGAATGTGACCCTCGTTATATCAATCAAGACCAATGACACTGAGTTCTAGAACTTATGTTTGAACCTTCAAGAACATAGACTTGTTCTTTGTCTCTGGACTTAAACCTGGATGAAAAGTAAGTGGAGCTACTGCACTATCACACTTTCACCAGGGGAGAAGATATGTCAGAATGAAGTCCGTCCAGAGGCATCAGAGCCAGGAAGGAGACAGGAAGACTAGATCCTAGTGCCTCCCTTTGAGCTCGCCCTTCCAGCCATGCCTGAAGCTAGTCCTGTCCCCTAGACTCTTCTGGTAAGTCAGCCAACAAATTCTTCCTTTGCTTAAGCCAGTCTGGGTTGGGTTTCCTGTTGCTTACAATCAAAAGAGTCCAGGGTGAAATCCTGAGATTCCATTGTGCTTTGTATTTATGGAGCAGCTACAGAGCCAGGCCCGTGCCTGGTACTGAGGCTCCTGGAGAAACAAGATACAAAGGGGCCAGGCCTCAGCAGTTCTCTGTTCACTGAGGAAGACAAACACCAGACCAAAAGCCTGCACAACAACTTGTCATGTCGTCATATAATAGTTGTGTTTCTTCTTACTTGGTGCCCTCCAATGGATTTCCAGTGTGCCTGGAATAAAATCTAGACCATACACTAGAGGTCCTGCTGACCTTTCCCTCTCATCCTAATACTCTCTTGCGCTCGCCATTCCAGCCACGCCAGGTTACCTTCTGTTCCCAGAAGGTGCTACACTCATTCCCACTTGTATGCTTGCTCTTCTGCTGTGCCTAGAAGGCTCTGCCTTCACATCTTGGCATGGCCGGTTCTTGACAATTAGGTCTCTGCTCAAGTGTCACCCTCCTGACCCCCTAACTGAAGTAGCCCCCACTCCATCATGGTGTTTCACTTCTTCACCATCTGAAATTATCTCATTTATTTTCTTGTTTATTGCTTGTCTTTCCATCTTAGAACATCAGCCCCGTGACAGCAGTGCCTTTGCATCACTCATGACCACATCCAGTGTCCTTGGCCCAGTAATACAAAATAGGTCCCCATAACATTTCATGGGGTAAATAACCAGTGCAGAGAGTTGAGGCCCCATGTGGAATCACATCTGGGAAAGACCCAGAAGAGTGCAAAGGGTGAGGAAAGGCCTAAGGCGGAGCACATGGTGTGAGCCCGGTGCAGAAAGGCTGCTGGCTTGGCATGCTGGAGGCCACAGCTGAGTGCTGAGTGCTGAGGACAAAGGGCTGACAAAGGGTCAACAGCTGATAACTTGGGGTCGCACAAAATCCCTAGTACCCTGTTTCCAGGAGTGACATGAGTCCTCTCAGCAGAGAGCAGCAGCTGAGATTCATGCTATTAAGACTTACCCAATAAACGTGTACTGAGGCGGGGCCTGCTTGGTCCGGCCCATGATCCGAATGTCACAAATTGCAGCTTCAGTTGAATCCCGTGGAATAAATTTAATGCATAGCCTCTTCTTTCGAAAAGCCACTTCCTCTGAAGGAAAGGACAACAGAGAAGATATGAGTCTTCCAGAAATGCCACCATCTCTATTCTGAAAACCATGTCTCTTGTCACATCTCCTTCCTGTCAGAAGTAACAGGTAACTCACAAAGGACTGGGTTCTACCCTCCTGACTTTCTTGGGGGATTCAGTCACCCTGTTCTGTGCACAGGATCCAACGCCAGACACCCCCTGCCAAGAAGGGGCTCCCAGGAGCACACACACTCTAAAATAAAGCAGGGTGATTTCCAAAAGTCATGGCCACAATCTACTCACTGCTCAGCCATACATAGTGACACTCTGGCCATTAACACATCGCACCACATGGACCTCTTCTTTTTTACTTTTTATTATAGAAATCTTCAAACATACTCCAAAGTAGAGAGAACAGCAGAATGATTTTTCCATCTCCCAGCCTCAACACTGTGAATAACCGACAAGCTGCTTTAATCTCCTCCCACCCCTGTAGTTTCACTGGATATTTAAAATTAATTCCCGGCACCATGTCATGTCTCCATCAGTATCCTCAGTAGGCATCTATGACAGACACTTGTTTTTAATGACTACCATGCTATTGTCACTCCTAACAAAATGAACAAATTTCTTTAATATCATCCAATAGACGGTCTCTATTCAGGTTTTCTACATTTGTCTGGATTAAGTCTAGATGTTTAGACACTACATTTTGGTGTCAGGTCTCTAAGCCTACTTCATTCTGTAATAACCTGGAGAAATTGAGTCATATTCCTGTGTTTCCTGTATACTGACAGAGATAAAGGCTTAATTACACTCAGGTTAGATCTTTCAGGCAGAAATGCTTCCTGGGGATATATGTAGTTCCTGTGGCATCATATTGCGAGGCCTGGAATCCGGATGTGATGCTCCCACCAGGACCCAGTGATGTCGGCCTGGGACTTTGGTCATATAGTTCCCCAGCTGCTATCCTCTGAGCAGTTTTCCCATTTCCTGAAGGCTGTTGCTAAGATCCATACTTTATATTAAAGGCTTCAGAATGGTGATTTTCTGATTCTGTCATTCCTACTGTATTTATTAGTTGGACTTCTTCAATATAAAAAATAACTTTTGTTCATCAACTATTTGGCTTCCCTGGAATAGGTCTTGTGCAGGAAAGAAAGGGTAAGTATATGATTTTTTCTTCTTACTTATCAAGCCTTAGAGTAATAAGTTGGTGCCCTAGCAGCCTCCAGTGCTGACCAACAAAGGATGTGTGTTTAGATATGTTTCAACCAATTGTAGCTATTTAATATTCAATCAGAAGAATCTGGGTTAAAAATTCCAATTCTGCCATTTTCAGGCACTATAACCTTAGGCAATTTGTTTAGTTTCTCTGAGCCTTGGTTTCATGATCTGTGAAAGGGTGCTAATGAAACCCACCACAGAGGGACACTGAACAGATGCACTGTGGTAACACATGTGATCCACTTTCCCCAGCTCCCAGTACACAGAAAGTGCTCAGTAAAGAGCATCTGTGAGGGATCTCACCATCGAGCCGGATAAGCCTCTAGCACATGACTTATGTCTGCCCTTGGTTCTGACTTTCAAGACCTTTTTGTTATGTGGACAGGAAATAAGCACTTTGCAACTGAGGGTCAGAACGAGGGGAGGGCAGTCCTGCTGGTGGGATCTATGGGAACAGGACAGACTCAGGGGAATCGTTCTATTGTTAGGTTTTTTGGGGGGGCAGGTTGTTCTTTAAAGAGCCAGATAACTTGTGGGTTCTTTTCCCAAGTGCAGGTCAGATCCACAAACCGTGACAATCATGTTCTAAATCTGCACCCCAAACACTACACCTTACAAGGCAGCAATGGTATACTGGGGGATGGGGGGGGTCATAGCAACTCTGCACCTTCAAAAATTATTAGCTGATAAGTTCAGCCTTTGAAAGCATGAAGGTGGGACCTTTCTACAAACTAAACTAACATGCAGGTATTTTACTTGCTTTTGCCATGCTGCTCTTGGCTCTATTCCTCCGTCTACAGCAAACTCGGGGTAAGAGACAGAGCCACTAATTACACACGCGTAAGCAGGTCTAATTTTAAGTAAACATATTATACATAGTCAATAGAAATGTGTTCAGTCATGCTAATGAACAAAGAGAAAGTACACAGCACTTTATAAAACAAACAGTCTTCCAGTTTTTCAGTGCTATATAGATTACAACAAACTGTATTTAAATTAATTATAGGAGTCTGTTCTTTTTGGCTGACTTTATAAAATCAGAGCCTTAAATACTCTCAAATGATAGAACTGACCATAAGGTTTATCTGGTAAGCTTGGGCTCTCCTGTCTCCTGGATAAAGTCTCCAGGAAATGATTCTATAACCGAAGTGAAGAGGTTCCCCTCAGCCCACCCTTCTGTATGTTAAGGCACCTGATGGAGAGCCCAGAACTCAGCCTTGGAATGTCCACAGAGGGGTAGCAACCAGCATACTCCCAATTATGGGGGAGAAGCTTTCCAACCAGTACCACTGGGCCCTACAGCAGCCAGATCATGAGCCAAGATGGGACTTAGTCCTGGACCCCCTCACTGGCCTGGTCCAATGAGTTGAGAGGAAAATGCAGAATGGGAAACCCTTGTGGCTTACAGTGTACCAATATAAAGATAGTCAAAGTCAATTAATTGTCAGAAATGAACACTGATGCAAATTTCAAAACTGTGAAAACACTGGGGAAAAGTAGGGAATTAATACAAGTCTATGAGGCAATTTTAGATCTTAAGCAGACAATAAGAATAAGCAAAAGCAGCAAGCAACTCTTGTGAAAATGTTTAGTCATGCTAATAAATAATGAAGTGAAGATTACAATAGTAAAACTAAATAAAGATTTAAAACTTATGCTGGCAGGCCTGTGGAAAACAGGCATAAGCCTGTATCAGTAGTGGCACTGTGAATTGGTATTTCTAGTGTTAATCTGGCAACAGAGTAATAAAGCTTATCTTCATAGAGACATTCAATAAGCAAGACACAACACAACAGGTACCTTAGGTGATTCAAAGATGAAGTAAACATGGGTCTTGCCTCAAAGAAAGAGCTAGGTAGCAAAGGCATTAAGAAAACATATAAATGGCTAGATTGCAAACTAAAAACAACATTGTAAATTATGTAATAGTCCCTCCACTCTACAGATGAAGAAACTGAGGCCCAGGGGGGTGAAGTGATTTTCCTAGGGTGTCACAGGTTTAAATGGTAGAGCCAGACCCAATACTAGGCAAGCTTGACTCCAGAATCCAAGTTCTTCCCACCAAGCCAAATCGCAGTGTGTCTTAACAGAGGTAAAGATAGGAATATAGAGGCAGAGCTGATTGCTTCCTTCAGTTCCCCACTGTTATGACTGGCATTTGCTCACTTCACTCCCTCCTATATGTGTGCATTGCCAGGTGCACTATGAAGCAGTAAAGAAGGTAGACAGGGTCCCCAACTACCCACAGATTAGAGCCCCCTCTGATTAGACTATAATGCAGTTCCATGTTTTCAAGTCCAGGTCACCCACTAGACTACATTCCTTGAGGGAAGGGCCAGTACCTTATTCATCTTTATATCCTGAAGCCTGCAGTGCCTGACCTACACAAGGTACCCATCAATCTTGGTTGACTGTGTTGAGGAATGTGAGATTCCTTCAAACTAGAATCTGGCTCATGGGTCATTTCATGTAGATTGGGACACTGAAGCTCACCCTTGAAAGACTTGCGTATGGACATTTCAGAAGGGAGGGAGAGGGCATTTCAGGCAGGGAAAATAGCAAAGCAAATACCTAGAGTCCAAAAAGTAAGGGGTATGAAGAGGGCACAGTGATGGATGGGTTTGTGTAAGGTACAGAGTGCTTGAAGGTAAAGAATGTTTGGAGAGGAAGGTTGGAAGCAGATCTTGAGGAACTATGACCCAGCAGCCTCAAGTACTTGGAAGCTTCTCCCAAGAAAACCATTCAAAACCCATCCATACACAGATTGATCTATAGATTAAACACCATTCCTATGAAAATATACAAATAGCTATACTGCAAGCTGAAAACAACAGAAACAGGCTTCTTTAAAGAAACTGACAAGCTAATTCTAACACATGGAAATTCAAAAGACTCAGACTAGCCAAAACAATCTTGAAAAAGAACAAAGTTAGAGTACTCATATTTTCCAACATCAAAACTAGCTACACAGCTACAGTAATCAAAACTGTGTGGTACTTGCATAAGGAAAGATGCATAGATAGACAGAAGAGAACTCAGAGTTCACAAATAATCCTCATATTTATGATCAATTGATTTTCAACAAGAATGCCAAGACAGTTCAATGAAGGAAAGAATATTCTTTTCAACCCATGGAGCTTGAACAACTGAACATCCACATGCAACAGTATAAAGTTGGATGCCTACCTCACACCAAGTACAAAAATAACTCAAAATGGATCAAAAACAGTGTAGGTGCTAAAACTCTTAAAAAATATGTATAGATCTTGGTGATTTTGAATTAGGCAGTAGTTTTTTAGATATGACACCAAAAGCACAACTAGCAAAGGAAAAAATAGAGAAGTGGAACTCCATTACAATGAAAAACCTTTGTGTTTCAAAGGACACCATCAAGAAAATGAAGAGACCACCCATAGAATGAGAGAAAATTTCTGCAAATCATACATCTGATAAGGGACTTGTATATAAAATATATTAAAATATTTTTATAACTCATTAAGAAGATAATCCAATTACAAAATGAGCAATGCATCAGAATAGGCCTTTCTCCAGAAGAGATATACAAATGGCCAAGAAGCACATAAAAAGATATTCAACATAACTAATCATCAGAAAACACAAAACAAAATCATAAAAAAAAGACTACTTCACAACCACTTAAGACAGACAATAACAAGTGTTGGTGAAGATGTGGAGAAATTGGAACCTGCCTATACTGTTGCTGGGAGTGTAAAACAGTGCAGCTCCTTTGAAAAGTAGTTTAGGCCAGACTCAGTGGCTCAGCCTGTAATTCC